GAGAGAGAGAGAGGGGGTCACCTCATATGTGACAGCCCATTTCCCAGATCGGAGAGGCCTGTGCAACAAGTTGAGGTTACCCATATAAAGGGATTTTTTGGGGGAAATACTCTTTAGTTCTTTCAATACTGTATCAACCCTAACAAAGGTATCATCATCACATTTCATGATGTATGCAGCAGACAAATTGTGAACCTGCACAAGATAAAAGAACATGACAAACTTCATTCAAGATTATTTGAGTTCAAAGTTCTTTCCAGACTTTATCTACAATTCAACAAATTTTAAGAAAATGCTATGCAATTGTATTTGAAATTTTCGATCTTACAAAACTTACACGCAATATTTCAGCCCCAAATCCCAAATAATGGTCTTAAAACCAGTAAGACAAGTTAAACAGTCTGAAGCCCTGGACCTTGTTTAATCCAACCATATCGCAATATGCATAAAATTAACATAAATAAATAAATAAGCAGAAATCTTACCCCATATTCACATATTGCAACAGTTTTAAGCACCACAAGCTCATATCTATCCAAGAATGGTATTATCACAATGTCGCCAAAAAATTGAGCTTCTTTCTTCAATTGCATGTTGACCTCCTTTCTTGCATTCTGCATGCTAACAATAAAGTTAAAGCAGATAGAGAAACACAACTGCCACAACTCGAGCAAAGAATACCATCTAAAAAACACAATATAATACACTTATAGTGCCTGCACAAAATTCTCCCTACCTCCCTCCCTCTTGCTATATATTTTTCTTTTTTTAAAATTCATATGCATCATGGCCTTTAATGCACTTTGGTCCACATGGGAACCAACTTAATTTGCTAGATTTGATTAAATGTTAAAAACTAAATCAAAAAAAAAAAACATTTCTCAGAAATTTAGTTCCCCTTCTTTTCAATAAGAACCTAATAAAGCAGGGGGAAGGGTTTGAAATAAAGGCATATATGGAAGTTTTTCCTTCACACTCTTACAAAACATGGACCAAAAAATATTTTTCATACAGAGATAAATGAAACATTATCCAACAAATCAAAATACTGATTTTCTTTTCTCCTCTTCAATTAGCACCCATGGATGGAATACACCCAACTCCACTTAAAAGTCATTGGGGACATAATGCTATAAATGAATAATAAACTTCCAACAATAGACAATTTTAAGATTTATCTTAAGATGTTATAGAACTATAAAAATGTTAAAAACAAATGGTGATTATCAAATCCATTGCAACAAGATACTCTTTGGAAATACAATCATAGAGTAATAAACTACAAATGGACAACCATATTATCAAAAAGCATCTATTGCTAATATTAGTTAGCAAGTACAGAAATTTGGAAGTGGATCAGATTGCTGAGGCTATTTCATTCAACACAGGCTATCCTTTGATTACATGTGTAGCGTCAGTGGAAAACAAAGTGGGATCACATGACCCAATTAAATCGAATGAAGAGGTTGACGGATTTCATCTCTGTTTCTTTTTTTTTTGTTGAAATGTTTGACGAATTTCATCTCTTACCTTGCAGAAATACCACTTTCTAATTGATATGCAATTACACGCAAGCACGGTATTCTATTTTTCTATGAACTAACTTCAGCGGAAGCATTAGAATGGGAAAGTGTTCAACTAACTAACTCTGGATTATTGCAGTTACATTAAGAATATTGTCCTTATATTTTATTTAACTCGGGATCCCCTTTCTTGATGGCCATATTCTTTTTCTTTTTCTTTTTCTTCTAGGTTGTAAACATCATATATAAGGCTTATGACCACCATAGAATAATATTTCTTTAATGTCTCCTTGTTCTAAAGGTTCTGCAAGTTCTTAATTTAAACCAACTTGATGAACCTTTTTCTGCTCTTGATTTCATCATTCAATCTACACTCCACTCCTCCACAAACTGAGTAAAATATGGTTTACATTAGAGTTATAACAAGTAAAGTAGTCTGATATGACAAATACCATCCGGAGTTCACTAAATTAAGTTCCATAAATAGGTCATCTGTAGGCCAGAGACCAAGTCATGTCGACTAATGAAATAAACTAGTCCCTTGTAGATTCTGAGATACGAAGAATAGTAGGGATTTGGACTTCTTTGGGAGCATCCTAAAAGAAACTACATTTAAAGAATATATATAAACCGTAGAAAGAAAAAAAAGGGTAAAATGTAAAAGAAGTGCAGCCATGAATCCTAGGTGGCTATAAAAAGAAAATTTTTAACAAAAATAATTCCACGAAGTCTTATCCAACACATGAATCAAATACCTAAAAATTTACTGGAGGAATGTTAACTCAGATTGTAACCCTACGTGTACAATAAATTTCATCAGGAATAAATTGTTTCTTCAAAAAATCAAAGAGCCCAATGCCAAACCAATTCCATGAACCACAATAAAATGCTGATGAACATAAAGAGTGCAGGACAATCGGATGCTTACCAATGCAACAAAGAAGCGGGCCACTACTTTTGACGACTTAATTAATTCACATTGCATCCAGGTTTTCCTAACTGCCATCCGCTCTGCAAAGTGATTACTAGCAGAAAGGATCCCAATGAAAAGGAAAACTGAGTCATCTTTAAGTGGAGGAGCCTTCCACTTCTGTGACATATCCAAGACATGCAAAAGAGAGAAACTTGGATGTGAGATTGGAAGAGAAGTAGCGATAACAGCATTCACATCTACATCACCGTCTACAGACAATCCAGTCGCATCTTCCAGAGAAAATCCCTGCCACATTACCATACAACTCTAGTAAAACAAACTGCATTCTTGATTCCAAAAGTTCCATGTCAATCAAACCTGGCACTAGAGATTAGCATATCCATGAGTTGAAAAAGGTATTACCAACAATCTAAAATCCTCTACCATAAGAAAACAAATAACGTTTGGGGAATCAGACAATTGAAGGAAAACAAATCTAGAGCAATAGGGAGATTTTGACTCAAATTCAAACGTAGCTAGCATGTGAACTGTACAACCTACTATCTAGTAGAAGAATAAAGGACAATAAAAACAAAACAAAATTTCCATTTATATGAAGATCATCTACACCAATTAATGTACTATCATGTACATGCCTAGTATATGGCAAAGGTATCTAACATAATTTTGAAAAGGTGCAATATAGATAGGGATGTACCGTTCGGTAGGGGAAAGAACTAATGTGCCTGCCACCAACATTAATGTGATATCCTTCCACACCAGCCCGTACAGTTAGAATAAATAGTCTATCCTCCACAAAAGGAAAAGGCCACATCATCTCGGGCTTCTTTGCACGTCCAATGAATCGTCTCAGCCATGAAATGGTCTTCGATTCTTTTGCTTCAGTAATATCACTACGTATCCATTTCTCACATTTTACAAATCCATCAACTGTGTGGTAACAGTGTCAGTATTTTAGTATATTTAACGCAAGCATATAAGCATGAAGCAAAAACTAAAAAGTGACAACATATTCTTTTCTTTGAAAAAAACCACAAAAACATGGTAATAGATGAACAAGCCGTAGATATCTAGCAATCAAAATATGCAGTGGCCTGACCTTTTATACATAAAGCAGCAGTAAAAGATATCATTTCATGTAATCTACTCCCATAAACTCAAATTTACGGAAAAAAAAAAGAACGAAAGAAAGAAATAAAAGAAATATATCCAGAAGCAGAGATCATACTAACAAGTAAATTGACACCAATTTATTGCTACAGTGAACCTTTGTTTGTGCCCAAATGCTCATTCACTTTATTGCAAAAAAAGAAACGCCAAAGTGTTATACTCTTATTACAAGTAAATTGATACCAATTTATTGCTACAGTGAACCTTTGTTTGTGCCCAGATGCTCATTCACTTTATTGCAAAAAAAGAAACACCGAAGTGTTATACTCTTATGCAATTGTTTATCATTCTGTAGATCACATTACAGATACATGACCCACGTAATAATCATCAGATGGATCATATCATAGACAAAAAGGGAATCCCATAGGTGATGAAAACCTTTAATAATCAAAAGTTTTTTTATTTCCAGATGTGTCTATTTAGTCGAGTGGTTTGGAATACAAGTAGTTATTCAGGTTTATCAACAAATCATACAAGTTATGGTAATGAGGTCTGCAACGATCTCAGGCACAACCACGTTAGAACGTCACAATCCAAATGGGAATGCATTTTAGAATTGGCCATATATGTTTATGCAAGTAGGTTCGGTGTAACATGAAAACTGAGCTCTGGTAGTATTTTGCTATTTCAGTGTCTCAAACTTCAGATGCTAGAGTACACACGCCACATATGTAAGCCAACAGAAACTAGTATACAAACAAATGGAAAGTATAGTATACCCAAGTCAATCAACTACGGTAAAACCGTAGTACATTAGGTCATCTTTGTCAATTCAAATGACGCATGCTGATGGTGGAGAGAGAAAGGCACTCACCAAAACCGGACATTCAACGGATAGTGAGACCTATTTGACTACTCATTTGAACACTCCATTAGATTAAAGCAATCTTTCCCTAAAGAAAAGAATGAAAGAAAATATATGCTTACTGGTATCATCTTCCCTCCTTGATGGCAAACCATCACATCTTTGTGCAGTCCCCCATTGCATCCGATAACAAGTGTTGTGCTCAAAAACAGGCCTTCGGCTCCAATCACCCCTTAAACGTGGATTTAAGTGCAAAACTCTTGGTGGGTCCTCCCCATCAACTGCCTTCAATCCCCTCAACTCCACCATAAACTGAGAAACCATGACCACATCGTCCCCACTTCTCACCCTCCTAAAATTGCGAACATATTCCTTATGAGCAATTCTAGGTTTGCCAATCAAAGTTATTGAAGACCCAACTGCCAGGCCGCAAGGGAGAAGCATAGTATTACCCAGATCACCAAGTTCTTCACCATACAAAGAAATAGAAGATGGGCATGGCTCTGTCACCTTCTCGGTTTGATTTAAAGTTACCGATGATGAATTAAGAGTTTCCAACTCTCCCCATGCTTTTAGCCCAATTGACCAAGCATCATTTGCCATTCTTTCAAGCATAGACAAGTCATGGGTTTTGTTCATTTCTCTCACTATTGCACCAGTTATCCTTCCATACCTATGCACGAGTGGCTTAAGGGTTTGGAAAGAACCCTGGTCCAACTTTTGGGGTTCGTTATGTGGCCTTTCTGGGGCATTCTGATTTTGACTATCCTCTAATTTTCTATGAAAAGTGTCCTGATAAACTGATGAGAAAATGGGTTTATTCCAATCGTCATCATCAACTGGTTCTCTCCTAAATGATTTTTCCAAAGTAACAAAATTATCATCTCCACTCAATAAGGTTGCCATCTCAAGAACCTTTGGCAATTTAAAGAATATGAAGAGCAGATACATTCCCCCTAAAACCAGTAAAATATGAGATGATTTACACTTCCTTCCACCCTGTGGATCCCCCTTTCCTCTCTTCATGGTTGGAATATGAGAAAAGAAAGAAAAGGGGAAAAAAACCCAATATTCTCTTCCTATTCAGTCACCCAATTTCCTTTGACAATGATTCTAATATCGACATTTTGCAACATAAACTGCAAATTAAAAGTGCAGAAACATGAAAATGATAGAATTTAATGGCAGCTAATGATAACAGATCTAATGAAAACCAATTTACCAAATATTGGGCAATGAAAGTTCATCAACAACAATTCTGAGGTTCGCCATGGCTAAACAGGGGGGCGAAGTCTTTTGGTAATCTCAGTAACATTCTGTGTCATGAAGCTCATGACAAGAGAGGCATCTTCAACCCTAAGTTTAGAGAGACAAGGGGGAGTCGAGCGGACACGAGAAACCAGAAATAGGGTTTCCCGCAAAAGGAAAAACTGGGGACTTAACAGTACCTGTACTGAAGCTGGTATCTGTGCATTTTTAACGCCATTGCTGCCAATCTGAGTACAATAAAAAGAATCAGAGCCTCTCTCTCTCTTTCTATCTCTAGGATTTCATTCTATTCCTACAAATTCCGATAGCTCCTCTCTCTCTTAAAAAAAACTGCCTCGCCCTGATATTCAAAGTTTCCCATAAAAGCGAGAAGAGTATATATAGTCATTATTTAAAGGGAAACGTTTATATATGGTTGCAACCTTAAAATGGAGAATCACATATGCACCTAAAAATTCTTTCAGAAAGGTCAAAAATCTTTGGGAAATGTTATTTTAATGTTGAAAAAACACTATAATGGATCATCTAAACGTCGAAAAAAGGATTTTTGAGTCTCGAAAATAGTACATCTTGCAACACGATATCTAAACCGTCCATTTTCAAGATTTTCATATATTTATAAACCTATTTAATTTTAATTATTTTAAAAATAAAATTTTTCTAATTAGATATAAAATTAGATTTTAAGATAATACTAAGAACTTTTTATAATAAAATTACATATTATGATAAAATTTTAAAGTGTGCTTTAATTGAATTGTTTAAAGTTGCAACCTTATAAAAACTGCACGTTTATTCAAAAGAAAAAAGTTTACATATGGATGCTACCTTATAATGTAGCCCCTCGAAAATCCGTAAGGAGAAGGTAGTTTTAATGTTGAAAAAGCTTTAAGATGTAGAACTATAAAAAATAAAACGATTTTAAGTCTCAAAAATAGTAAATTTTAAAACATATTATCTACACCGTCCATGTTTTAGATTTTCATGTGATTATAGATCTACTTGATTTTATATTTTTTAAATTAAAAATTTTATAATTGATTATAAAAATAAATTTTAATATAATATCATGATAACATTTGAAAAATACCTTAAAAGGTTAAAAAAAAAAAATTTGGAATTTTAGGCTTTTTCTATTTTTCAGAAAATTAAAATGATAACAATATAACAACAAAAGATGATATTAAATTGAACGAGCGTGGGGCGGACGTATTGAGGTGAACGAGAGTGGGCCGGACGTATTGGGTGAGAATAGTACCCTAGTAAAAAACCGTAATGACACATATGTCCAACTCAGAAGCTACCCAATTAAGCTCTCCCTTTACCATAATTAAGTTGTGATAAAATTAGGGTTTTTTACTGGTTCGAGGTAGGTTTCTCATGAATTGGTCTGAGGTAGACTACCAACCAGTGCTTTGTTTAAATTATTATAAATTGAAAAGTAAATTTGACTGATTTGTTGAGTTAGTTCATCTATTTTTGACGAGTTCAATCTGTAAAATTAAGCAATTTTTAAATATTTTATATTTTTATTATTTTTAATTGTTAATTTATAAATCTAGTCTAAAAAATTACTAACAGTTTCACTAACTAAACTAAAACCCTCACTAATTTGTTTGCCAATTTTGAGAATACTGTCTCATGGTGTAAATAGAGTGTGGCAGAAAGAGATTAGGTCCTCTATCACTGCTGTCCAAAATTGTGTTCTCTCTAACAAAATTAAACTCTCCCTTCCTCCCTCAAAATTAGGTTTTTTTCCCTCTCTTACATGGAAATGGTTGGTGGGAGTGGCAAGGTTCTTCATGCACTGACCTAACCCTCCAATGTACTAATGAAAGTAGAGAGAGAAAGTAGGTGCGATGGGAGCTGTGGGCTAGAGAGTGGTCTGAGTTAGAGAGAGAAAGGGCATGTAAAATTTTTATTGGCAAGAGAAGGGCAAAGTTTGGACTTCCATTACCGTGTTTGAGAAAACCAGTGAGAATGAGGTGTTGTTAATTGATGGTTAGGAACTCGAGGTTTTTAATGGCTACCGCCCACTCGCCCTTGTAAGAGAGGACGGTTATGTCACCAATTGAAATTGTAAGAATTTTAGTGCTTTCCAACTTAAAAAACGTGTTCTATCAGAGAGAGAGAGAGCAGAGACATGGCGGTTAACTGTGCATTTAAAACTGTAAGAACGAGAGCTTAAGAATCATACCCCAACAAACACTTTTAGAGAGAGAGAGATACAGCAACCAGTTACGTCGTCTTTTGGAGAGAGAGAGTGCGACCAACCAGCTACCTTGTAAACTGAACCATCCAAGAGAGAGACCAAACAGCTATCTTTAAACAGAAGGTCTACCGTTCAAAAGTGAGACAAAGAGAGTCTTGATGAAAGATGAAGTGTCGTAAATGAATGAACTCGTAATTTGGTAAGTCCCAACCTCAAGGAAGTGAGAGTACGGTTGTGTATGAAGGATTCAAAACTGTCAGAATGAGACTTACCACATGCTTTAGAGAGAGAAAGAGAGTGAGAAGCAATTGGACTCTACAGTTTCAATGAGCAAATTTCACTGCTTTCTAGAGTTCCACTCCTAGCAAGGTCTTAAATTAACACTTGAAAATAAAACAGAAATATTTTACAAAAGAAAATAAAGTAAAAAATAAATTTCTCTATGTGCTAACCGGTGCTATTGATTTTTTAGCTCATCATCGTCATTGTTAAAGCATTTTTCAAACTAATTGGATCGGCTAACCGAATCCTCATTATGCTCTATGAAAAGATATACCTTCAGTTCAGTTAGGCCATGAGTCCCCGTGATCACTTACTTCTTACGAGCAATAAATCCTATGATTGAGAGACCGTTTCTAGTTGGAGATCTCCCTTTCTCTCTCTCAAAACACTAAGGGTGCATGGAAGCCGCCCCTTCCTTAACAGCGGACAATGGACGCTGGGCATGGATCGCCGGACTTCAATTTTGTGGCTTCCATGCTCCGCAACAAATACAACATAGAGATTTGGTGGAACTTGGTCTCCCGCTCTTAAAAAGTTCCACTTTCCACCAATCAAACACACCCTAGATTCTATAGTTGGGAGACTATAGATGAAAATCTATCCTTGGGAAACTCTTTCTAGTTGAAAATCTATCTCTCTCTCTCTCGCTCTCATCTTACTGATACTAATTCTATACTCGAAATCTCAAATATCTCAGTAGCTGTGGAGGAAGGTTATTGAAAATAAATACGGCATGGATAATGGCACTTGTCTCTGGTGTGCTGTTAGATATACTAGTGTTTCATCTTCTATGCGGAAGGGTATCTCTCGCTGCAAAGACTTGGTGATGAGGAGCATGGCGGATCAAGGTGATTCGGTGTCTTTTTGGTTTCACAAATGGCTGAGGGTAGACCCCTGAAAGTTTTTTACCGGCAGTTTTTTTCCAAAGTTTCCAATCCATTTGCTAAAATTTCTGATTTAGCTGATGTTAATGGTAATGGATTAGTATGGCAGATAGATTGCCTGTACAATAGAATGCCGGATATTGTTTTTAATCAACTTACTAATCTATTACGGGAGTTGGAAGAGATTAAATCATCAATTTCAGTGGATGATGAGGTACTTTGGGAGTTTGAGAATCATGGGGTGTTTTTGGTGAGATCCATGTATAGTTTGCTTTTTTTCTATGACCGACTGAGATGGCAAGAAGGTCGCTTAAAAGAGGTTTGGAAATGGTAAATCCCCGATAAAGTACAGGCTTTTATGTGGGTTGTAATGCAGGGTAGGATACTGGCAGTTGATAAATTGAGAGAAAGGGGAAAAATGATTGTCAATGTGTGTCTTTTTTATAAAACCGATGAGGGGACGGTAGACCACATTTTCTTGCTTTGTCCACTTGTTGTTCAGATTTGGAGGTGGACGCAGCTGAAAGTGGGTTATTCACTGGCGATCCCCAATAATATTATGGATATTTTGTGTAATTTTTAGATTTCGGGCTTAACAAGATATGATTTGGTTACTTGGGGAATTTTAAGAGCAGGGAGTTATGATTTGGTTACTTGGGGAATTTTAAGAGCAGGGAGTTATGATTTGGTTACTTGGGGAATTTTAAGAGCAGGGAGTTGTGGAAGGAGAGAAATAGAAGAAACTTTGATGGTGTTTGTTTGGGGATGGAGGATTTGAAGAACAAAATCTTTGACTCTCTGGCGGTGGTTTTCTATAACTAAAGAAAGCTCGGGTATCTCCTTCGTGGATTGTGAGGGCAACTTGCAAATGTCATCCACCAACATATTCAAGGATTGATCGGCTCCCTCCGCCTCAGGGATATGTTAAATTGAATTTTCATGGAAGTTCATTGGGTCATTTGGGGCCGACTGGATTTGGTGGTGTGCTTGCTATAGGATATTTATGGTAAGGTAATTTTCAGTTATGCAGGTCCTTGTGGTTCAACCACAGCAAATTATGTGGAGTTTTGTGCATTGTGGCATGGACGTTCTCTTTGCAGGGACCGGGGTATTGCTGGCTTAAGGTGATTATCTTAATGTTATTAGCTGGTGTAGAACGTTTCTAGAATTCTTTGGAAGCTCAAGTATTGGTGGATTGCAAATTATGAATCGGTGTTTGGATCCTCATATTGAGTTCAAACACCTCTTGAGAGAAGGAAATTCAGCCGTTTGCGAGGTGTGCGGTGCATTTCTGTTCTTTGGTCATTTCTGAAAATGCTCTAATTGTATAATTTTTTGTAATGTTTTATTCAGCAATAAAACCTTTAACCTTGTCAAAAACTAAAAAGAAGAAACTAATTCTATACGAGGTTATTTCTGTAATCTCTCTCCCTCCAAATTCTCGATCAAAAATCTAGTTGATTGCTCTCTCTACGCATTCTCAATCGACAATCTAGGTGATTCTCTCTCTCTCTCTCTCTCTCCGCATTCTCGATCGACAATCTAGTTGATTCCCTCTCTCTCATTCATGTCCCAGAATTTTGTTGGCGTGAGTATTGCATCCTGTATTTCTCTCTCTTCTAAAATTATGCTATGGGAGATCTAGGATTTTCCAACAGTAGGCAAGCATTTTGCTGCCCCTTATGAGATCACAGGGTTTAAAGAACATGGTTTTGTTTTTTACTGAAGGGACAAGACCTTGTGTATCTCTTGCCTGCAACTACTACAAATTTTCAGAAAGAGAACTTCCTATTACACCAAGGTTGTATCCTCTCTTGCAGGACATTGGGGATTACAAAACTGGGGGAGGGCACTTTTTTGTCTAAAACATCTCTCTCTTCTCTCTCTCTGCATCGGGATTTCAGTTCACTCCTCGTCCTCACTGAAATCCATCAAAAAGTCTGTCAGGTTCTCTGAATCATCTATGGCTTCTTCCAGGGTCATTGAGTCCTTCTTCGGCTTCTTTTTCTGAAAATTTCAAAAAACAAGGTTAAATAATAAAAGTACACACTAAATCAATAGACTATTTTCTCTGTTTTTTTTAAAAGGCATGTTAAAGACCTCACTTGAGCACACTCGTAGGATTCATTTCAGTAGATCTAAGGAATTCAAAAACCTTTAAATGATTAGGAAAATTAAATAAATAAATCCAATAATTGGTTTCAAAAATAAAATTAGATCAACATCCCAATGGTTCTTTGTATCCATTGAGAAAACTCACTTGGAGTTTGTAGAGAAGCTTTTGAAAGAAGAATTCAGGTCAAATAATCCTCTTATATATGAATAATAAAGAAGACCCAAACGGCTTAATAAAATAAGGGATTGTATACAATGAGACCATTTGCATTTGACACAAGGTGGTCACAATTCCTTGCAACCATTTGATGTGAAATTTGATACCTAATGTGTCACAAAGTTTGAGAATTTATTTTGAAGTTTGGGCTTGGTCAACGGAATAATTGCAGCCACTCAATTTCACATTCAATGGTCAAGATTAATGTGACCACCTTGTATCAAAAGTAAATGGTCTCATTCCATACTTTCTCATAAAATAAACATTGCAAAGTTTAAAAAAAAAAAAATTGTATACCATAAAACGCTTACCTTTGATACAAGCATATTCATTCCCTAGCCACCACATGTGAAATCGGGTAGCTAAGGGTGTGTCCTTTCTCTGTACAAAGTTTGGGGGAAAAAAATTGGACCTTAAACACAGTCAATGGCACGCCCCCAGACACCAGATTTCACATCTGATGTCTAAGGATGATTATGACCTTCTCATACCACAGGTAAACGGTCTTATTTTATACTTACCCTAAAAAAGTCGATAATGCTATCAAGAACAAAAATGCCCTCATGTAGATCCTCAACAATTAAGGACTAGGCTTTCATCAACAATACTTGTAATGTATTTTCGGAATTGAAAAAGCAAATTTGTTTTCCAGCAGATTATTTTCAATTTATTTTGAGTAAAGGGTGAGTAGTAGGCACATTTAACAAAAACATATGTCACAGAGAACTAAGGTGCACATTTTAACAAATAATACGCCATAGAAAATTCTTAGGTACATTGAACAAATCACATGCCATAGAAAGCAATTTACTTTAAAAAGAGAGTAACAACTCTTTGATATAGGCCACTATTTTCTCCACTGCCAGGTACAGATCTGATTGTTTCAAGGTTTTCATATGCTAAATCTGAAGCTATTCATATAAATATAATTATATGGGTTATGTTAGGGTGCTCACACTATAGAGAATTTTATAATTGTATATATATATGATTAATAAATTGATACAGGTTGTTTCCATAGCTAAATTTCAGTCAAGAGCTAATATCGCAATTGCAAAGGAAATTCAGTTACACAAGGGCTTCCAAAGGTGGTGAGGCTCTCACTGCTAGATTAGAAATTTTTTATGAGGTTAAGATAAGTATGGTCATTGTATGCATGTCTCTAAGACAAGGGTAATTTTTCGAAAGAACAAATATACGGTCAGGAGATTAAAATTGCATAAATCAGGTTCATTTTACGAATTAGAAGTTGAAGGCATTTTGAAACCAAAGCACCTGTCATTTCCCAAGAAATCAATGAATATTTAAATATAGCTCTTACTTGAAAGTGAGCTATCCCTCTCAAGGCATCTTCTTTATTTTCTCACACACCTTGGCATGTATGTTAAGTCATCTCAAAAGTTCAATTGTATCCTAGAAATCAGAAAGATGAACAGAAGATTGATATATTCGTGGATAACAAGGGAAATTTGATAAAGACTACTGTGTTACGAAATAACTATGTTATACGTAGCAGAACTCTTCGGTGTGCATCTGTGTGTGAGTTTTAAAGATGCCAGAGCCTGAGAACTAGAATTTAAAATTACTTTAAAACATTGTATATGAAGTTCTGAACATCTCCAAACAAGCTCGATAACACACCTTTGAGTTATTCAGCTCAGGGGTACTCTTCAGGACACTCCAATTCCGAGTGATTTTCTCCTCAAGTTCATCCTCCCCTTCGGCCTCACTGCCATCTTCTTCGTCATCATCCTATAAAAGACAAGTAACATGATAAATTCGTTTAAGTTTGTACTTTTGTCGTCTTATCTTGGTAACTATTAGTTAAGTTTTATAGCTTTTTTGTTTCTACTTTTGACAAACATTAAGATTATACCAGATGGTCTAACAAACATTTTAGTAGAGTTTCAAATTTTCCTTTGCAGGCTTATAGCTGACATTGTTATTTGGAAACTGGCAATTGTGGTCCAATTTCAGTAACAAAGGATTCAAATTTCTTTTAGTAATTTTGCTCGAAAACTTAATTAAGATGCCAAAGAGAAGGCAGAAGAGGACGAAGTCCAGGCTAATGATGTTCCACACTTTTAGAACTCTTCCCCAACATCTATGCATCATTTTAATAAATGATAACTGACCCTCTGTGACGCACACACACATCCATTCGCAAATGTGCATGTTGCTGTGTTCTGTTTGAATGTGTTCAAGCTGCACAGATGCCAAAGAAAGTAGCAAAATAACTATGCCGCAATGATGTTAATATGTTGGACTTACATCATTTTCTCCAATGTCAACAGCTTGGGCCATGGCTTCATCCATATCGGTTATCTGCTATAGAAGTTAAGAGAAGAGTAACACTTAATCAGTTACAGAAATAGGTTTTATCTAAATCCAACTTGTAATTGTCATTGTAGTTACATAAGATTGTTTTTATTTTGACTATTAATATTTTACTTATTATTTCTAATCAAATAAGATTACAAAATATATATGATAAAAAAGATACGATAAGGTCCATAACAAAGGATGTACGAATACGAACTCTAATGCATGAATAGAATTGTTAATATCAAAAAACTCTGAAGATCCCCTTTCCTAGAAGGAGAAACTGGTTATGTCATTAGCCATGCTAAGGATGAAAGGAATCGAGGGCAAAATTTGTGAAAAGAACTGAACTTTATCTAACCATTTAGCTAACTTTGTGGAAGAGAAATTCAAGTAGTGCAGAGTCCTCAGGCAATACCTCAAGTTGTTGAGTCTTTTCTTTTGCCAAAATTTTCTCAAGCTCCTCCCTGGATATCATTTTTCCATGCTGAGATGCAGAAAGTTGGTGAGCACAACAATGAATGATAGGCAATAAAAACTTGAAGGAACGATGAAGAAAGAAACTTCAAGTGGTAAATAAAATAATGAAATATGCACCCAAACATCTAGGCTATCTAAAGACAATGTAGTTGCTTAACTGATAGGCAAGCAAAAGATTCAGCTTTATAAAATCATCAAAAACTTAAAGAAATTAACAACCCTATACAACAATAGAAATGCCCAGAACGATCAGCAAATGCATTTTTTCTATCCCTACCTTGGGCCTGCATTTAGAAGAAGAAAAAGAAAATAAGTAAGGAAAAATCATTCAAGTCAAACTTTCAAGCTTTTTCCAGAAGTGCCCTTACACCAACTTTTACATGTTTAGAAAGTTGAGACCTAAGGTGTCGAATATAATGAGCCGAGTCAATTTGATTTGTGCTGTCTTTAAACTGATTGGTGTATTACAGTTTCAGATTCACAGCTCGTTCTTGTTCAAACAGAATGTCTCGAAAGATATAGCACACTGCTCAAGAAATATTTTTTTTTATACAACTACTAGTAGAAGTATTAAGTTCCACTTTTTTTGCGAGTTAACAGTATATTTAAACATTACAAATTGATGATCTTAATCAGGATAGTCCGGGGGGAGGAGAGGGAGGTGGTGGTGGTGGTGGTGGGTGAGGGTTATCTTGAGAATCAAATTCAACATGCTTTATACTTGGTGCTTATCTTGTAGTACGTCAGTGGCCATGTGCTTATAAAGGTAAAAAAGCCAGTTTGGCTTCTTTTTTTTGGGAAAACTTCATTTTGGCTTCTTCTTTTTTTTGTCAATTGTATTTGTAATAGATTTGAATTTGATGCCATATTGACTGATGTGTTCTGTAGTCCTTAAAGGAATAGTGTTTGGCTTTCTCTCATTTCCTCAGTAAAAAGCATCCACAAATACTATTAGCAATCATAACGATCTTTTTTTATTTCATTCAAGAATTAGACCAGAGCGTACATCATCATAGGACGCTGCAGAAACTTTGTTTACAAATCTGAACTATTGAATATAATATAATCAAGGGATATTCACCTCCATAAGATAAGCCAGAATGTCTGGTGTTGGCTCGTGAAACTCAGGACCTCTAAAATCAGTAACTTCATTAGGATCTTGAATGTAGTTTATAGTCGGATAAACAGGATCTCCACCCCATACTGCAGAAAGGGAAATGTTATACCTAAATTATTATTTGACAATAAACATGAACTATACCAAGAGGAATAATGGCATGAGCGTTTATTAATAAAAGATCAAGGAAATAAAAACACAAGTCAGAGATCATAGCAGTACAATTCAACTTTTCTCAACTTTAGAGAAGAATATGACAGGTGATGGTAGAAAAATTAATTTAAATTAGGCCCACAATGGTAATTACAGCAGACAGGTAATGAAATGACTAAATAACATAAAGGAATTGTGCTTGGGTCAAGACGGTAGAGGCCCGGTTTTTATAGCCTAACGTCTCAAGTTTCATTCCTATGTAACCTTGTCAAAAAAAAAAGACTAAATGACATAAATAATTTATTTATCAAAAAAAACATTAATGACGTAACCATAAAAGAAGAAAGACATAAATAAATAAATGAACAAACAAATAACTAAAGACCAGGCAAATGTACAACTCTCATATTTAGCTTGGTCAGAGAACCCTAGTATACTTTAACCATGCTTGAATTCCACACCCATAAAGAAAGCTGGGAAAGGTGTGAGAATAGGCCTTATGGTCATAGATGTTCAGTACATTCCAACCCTGGCATGGTTAGGTGCCCAAGAATGAGCAATTTCTAAGAGCTTAGGTACAGGCGGAATTTGATTCCAATGATCCAGGATTAAAAAATTCTGATTCCCTAATATATTGTACTGATCAGAGCTTTTTCAGGTTTAGAGTTTAGGGCTGTAGTTTTCCTTTCTCAATAAATACGTAGAACATTTTGAATATGCACAGTATAGCAAACTAAAATCTGATATTTGAAAAATGTTGGCAGTCTAGTATTGCAATTGCTTCCATCCGAATATCATTCAAAAAGATTTGCTCTAATCTAAATGGTTTAAGTTGTAGTAGGCAACATCAGAGAGGTCACAAATACGGCAAAAGCACAAGAGTAATTCTCAACAACCAACGGGAAGATATGAACAAAGGACTATTTCACAATAACAAAAATTATTCTGAGTAGTCAATACACAACTTATTTCACCAGTCCTGTCCAATAAAAAATTAAGATAACTGCCGTAGCTTCATTTTTTTGAGAAAAGTTTAACTTCAACTGCCATAGCTTCATTAAAGAAGGGAAACCTACTTTGCTTAATTTGATCCTCTCGCATTCTCATTGCTAAGGGATCACGTTGGATACGAACATCACGGCCCATCATGATGCGGAATTCAGCAGCTGTTTGGTGGCAGAACATTTCTATGAGTTGTGTGTTTTCATCCTCTCCAGTTTCTTCATAATGTTTCTGCACAGCCTCTCGGGAAGTGTCTCGTTTCCAAGCTTTAACCCACTCTGAGTAATATGCTATTGGACCTATCTTTTCCAATCTCTCTTGCTCAGCTTTTAGCCTGAAAACAAGTATATTAACCCCGAAGATACTGTACATCATAATTAGCACTCAAAAACAATAAGGCATTTATGAAAAAAATTACAATAATTTATGGTTTTTTTGTTACGAAAAGTGTTTTGTGCGTCAGGGGATGTAGGTCCACATAGGCGTCCCATAACGCATCAAACATCCATCTCAAAGATGGATGGTTTGATAATGGTGGTCCCTCCATAACCTAAAATGCATGGTGTTAAACGCACATTAAAAATATTATTTTTCATAATTAAAAATTGTTGTTATTTTTTCATGTTCACCATGGTGGAGATTCTCAACTCATATATTTTCAAATCAAAAAACCATCTTGAGGATGGATTTTGGAGGGACTACACATGTAAATAGATGAGGGGGGGGACTCATGAAAACCTTATTCCTTTTTTTTTTATAATGTTAACCTTAAATTGATATAAACGTATTACAAGTAAGTAGGCAATCCACAGACGGATCCCCAAGAAAAGAAAAGAAAAAGAACAGAACAAAACCTTAATCTTTTTGTTATCCTCTATGTGGCAGGTTTCTCTGTTTCATAAATTTACAGGGCAATTATAAGTGAATAACCATATAAAATTATATAAACAAATCTTTGGACATTATAAGATAAGAAATAAAGTAATCCCCACCAGGATCAAGTGCCTAATCAATAAACAGATTGGACTACTAATAGGCTGCCCCACATTAAGAGGGAATGGTTAATGACAAACTGACGAAGACAACGTAAGTATGCTGGAATGGAGTCCAAATTCAATTGAAGATTCTTTTGATTGGAAAACATGGCATCAGAAACTGGACACATTAGAAGAATTTCGCAAGGATTAGGATAACCATATAAGAAGCCTTTAATCCTCTAAGCAACAATAGTTAAGTCACCATATGGAGTTTTAAAATTCATATTGCCAGTTTGGCCTTATGCCATGCATATGAAAAAATTCGATTACATGGTGTAGGAAATTGTGGCATTCAAAGCAATTTATTTTGTTCTAAATACTTGATATTCAATCACGTTAGGGACAAGGCGTAGCCCTTGCCAATATGTGCATCACATGCTGTGAGGAATCTATTGATCATATGTTGTTTCCTTACAGGTCTGCATGTAAATTGTGGGTGATAGACCAATTTGGTTTGGTTCGGACCACTCCTATTTTGGCTGCTGGCTTATTTACTGAATGGGACTCATGGCCCATCACAGAGAGTGGTTACCTGCTATAGTGTTTGTATATGCACTGAGCTTTGCAGGGCATCTGAATTGTGGGGAATTCAAAAAAAATTCAGGATCTGAGGACCACAGATAGGACTTTTCTAGAGAGAGCCCGAGATCAAGCTATTATATGGAGCATGATAAGACCGGAATTTATGGCCATCCAATCACACGTTCACTTAGCGAGCTGGGAAGGTTTAAATGGAGGCTAGAGCCTCTCAGAGATGTTGACCAGGATGGTCTCACTTAAATTTACATGTGAATAGGAGAAAATATGTGATTGATGAAGAAACAGCTAGGCAAGTCATACAACTTAAGATACTAATTTTAAAACACTGATTTCCCCAACTAACTTGAAAAATCAAGGAATTGCACGTGGTCCCAAGAAATGTCTCTCAGGATACAATGCCCCTCTATTCAAAAAAATTTCTAATTCTGCAAACCTTAGACTATTGGTACTGATTGATTGCACCTTACCGCATATCTGAAGTGCAATCCTCAAAAATAATTGAGTCTTATTAAGAAAGTAACTACTTTATGATCATTGGATGTCCACAAGGAACATGCTGATTGATAACACCTTACGGGATCTCTGAAGTGCAATCATAAAAAATAACTGAGTCTTGTTAAGAGAGTAACTACTTTATGATCATCGGATGTCCACGAGGTATGACCTCCCCTCTCTCCTCTCTCTCTCTCACTCTCTCTCTCTCTCTCTCAAACAGTCAATGGTCACTCACCAATAAAAGTTGCACTTTCTCAGATTTGAAAACGACCAATCAACATCCAACACTCATTTTCAACCAATAAGCTATTTCAATAATAAAAATAGAATCAGTTTTTTATTTGTATTACAATATATATGAGAAGTATAAAAAGGACTCACAATATGAAAGTCTAGGCATCCCACAATCAGGGTGCTCAGTACAAGATAACTAGAAGACAACATAGTTGCTGTAACAACATAGTAGGAGAAGATGCCAAAATAACTTAGTAGGAGAAGATGCCAAAATAACATAGTAATAGTGTAGTGAAAGGTGGAGAAAAGAAGAGTGGACAAGAAGGCTTAGTAGAAAAAGGAGAAGTGTGGGGGCAGATAGAAAGGGAGAAGGAGAAGGGGATAGAGCGAGAATGAGTAATAGAGGAAGAGGGTTAGAAGAGATGGGGGGAAGGGTGCCGTAGAGATGGGGAAATAGAGTGAGAAAGTGAGAAGGAGAAATTAAGAAGGGGGGGGGAGTAAGAGAGAGAGGGAGATAAAGAGGGGAAGGGGCCAAGTAAGAAAGGTAGGAGGAAGAGGGTCAGCAAGAGAGGTTGAGAGGTGTTTGAGAGGAGTTTCTTCAAGGTTGAGGGCTGCTGGGGACTTCTTGTGCTCCCAGTTTAGCAGGGCAATCGGCATCATGGTACGACGGAAGTCTACTTGAAGAGGCCTGCAAAGAAAGAAAATAAAATTAAAAATGTGTGTTAGTCTCCAAGGTGGGCTACATGATCGTGAGGCCCGAGAGATGACATTCTTTGAGTCGGCCTCCACTAGAAGGTGGTGCCCCCCGGGCTGGTTTGAATCTTTCGAGGGCCTCGAGCAAGGCCATGGATCCAGCCAGTTGGAATCCCCATGGCCAATGTAAACCGCGAAAGTTTCAAAGAGAGTTTCCCACATGGTCTTGGAAGATGCCACTTACTCCGCATGGACTAGGATTGCCTAGCGAACCTCCATCAATGTTAACCTTGATGGTGCCTCGAAAAGAAAGGGGTGGGGGGTGCGAGGTTTCCAGATTTGTGAACCCAGAACCTTGGTAGTTCTAGAGAACGTAATACCCTGCCAGTTGTTGTGCAAGTCCACTGAGGAGTAGTGTCTGAGTGGTTTGAAGGAGGCGGCCTAGAAGATAGTGAGGGATCTAGCCTTTTCAGTGACGGCTAGGGCACTACTTCTATCTTCCCAGAAAATGCGGGATTTGCTTTAATTCCAAATGGCCCGCAAAGAAAATAAAATAAAATTAAAAATGTGTGTTAGTCTCCAAGGTGGGCTACATGATCGTGGGGCCCGAGAGATGACATTCTTTGAGTTGGCCCCCACTAGGAGGTGGTGCCCCGGGCTGGTTTGAATCTTTTGAGGGCCTCGAGCAAGGCCATGGATCCAGCCAGTTGGAATCCCCAAGGCCAATGTAAACCGAGAAAGTTTCGAAGAGAGTTTCCCACATGGTCTTGGAAGATGCCACCTACTCCGCATGGACCAGGGTTGCCTCGCGAACCTCCATCAATGTTAACCTTGATGGTGCCTCAAAAAGAAAAGGGCAGGGGGTGCGGGGTTTCCAGATTTGTGAACCCAGAACCTTGGTAGTTCTAGAGAACAAAATGGCCTGCCAGTTGTTGCGCAAGTCCACTGAGGAGTAGTGTCTGAGTGGTTTGAAGGAGGCGACCCAGAAGATGGTGAGGGATCTAGCCTTTTCAGTGACAGCTAGGGCGCTACTTCTATCTTCCCAGAAAATGCAGGAATTGCTTTAATTCCAAATGGCCCACAGGGTGGCTTGAATGGAGCTCTCCAGAGAACAGTTCCAGCAGCAGGGAATAGTTGGGAATAGTGCGAGGAGAGGTCGTCCATTATTTGTATCACACCTATTAAATTCTTAAAAATTAGTAATCAAATCTCGAACCTATGGTTAGAGCTCACTCATTATTTAATCCCCAAAAATTAAGAGGATTAAAACCATAATTTAAATACACTTGGGATTTAATATTGTCTTGCCTCAAATAATTAATTGATACAAATCTTTAATTTAAGGCAGCACATTACAGACCCTGTGCTAACCCAGACTTAGCAAGACCTTAGAGCGCTTCCCCAAAACACATGCAAGGAAGCCCTTCACATGCACAAATGCGAAGCCATCAAGAAAAACCCCCCATTATTCCAAAACTCTATGAATTCGTTCAACGACTAAGCTAGCCTCTCAAAACAGAAATTAAGGAGCATAAATCTGGAAATACGAGTTTATTAGGAAAAATTATAAGAATTACCCACTTGTTCCTAGCGAAGTGAGAACCACCAATCATAAGCCACACCCTACAATTGTAACTGGAAATCTTCAAGTAGAAAGTGGGGCACAATCACATTAATATCTTTTAAATCGATAACCATCCCATTCCTCCTGGTACTTTCCATATCTTTCCACCGAACAAACTCTAAAGAGGGGGATCTGCTAGCAGTTGATCCATTAAAAAGATATTCCAAGGTCTTCATCTCACTAGTTTGCAATTGTGATTAAATATTTTAATGGAATATGTAAGAATTGTCAAAGATCTCGTTCTCACAAGTTTGCAATTATGATTATATATTTTAATGGAATATGTTAGAATTGTCATTACATCTCTTATTCTTTAGAATTTTTCATTGCCACCTTATTGTCACAATATACAGTTATTCGGTGTAATAGGAATTCTAGTAAAAGTTATATGTCTTATAGCGTCTCAACCATAATATCTCCTCACCTGCTAGAAATAGCAATGTACTATGTTCCATGGATAACAAAGCAATACACTTTTGTTTCTTGGAGGACCAAGCAACTGCTCCTGCAAACAACCATCCATAAGTAGCATGGGAATCAAAATTCCTTGATGCCCAATTAGCGTCACAGTAACATTTTTAAAAAGGTCCTTTGCCTTAATAATGTAAACCACAATTCATGGTCCCTTTCAAGTGCCTACCTAGCCTACTCATCTCTCTCCAAGATCATTACTTAGATTGCAGGAAAATCTAGTTAATTTACCTACAAAATATGGAAAAAGGTGATTATGCCTTTTAACAATTGGTATGTGTATGTCCCTTAGACATCCAATGGTCATAGAGCAGTTTCCCTTCATAAAAGTTCGCTAAAAGACAGAAAGTGCTTGTTATGCATAAAATTTCATGCACAATAATTTTTCTCTGGTCTCTGTAAAAAAATTTCCCTCTTGAAATTCCGTAAACAGTTGCCATACATAAAGAGTCACAAATCCAAAATACTCCATCATTTTGGATGACTCTTTTTGCATTTCAAAAAGGCCATACGAGGCTATCCATCGGCATCAGTTATATCTGCTAGAACTGAAAACAAGAATACGAAATTGAGTTTTTCTAAAGTTTGTAGGATAAAAACTTTACCAGCCAGAAGGACATTGTATCCTGAGATGGCATTTCATGAGACCACCTGCAGTGCCTTGATTTTTAAAGTTAATTGGGGAAATTATAGTTGTAAAGGTAGTATCTTTAAGTGACACACCCCACCAATTGTTCTTCATCTATTGTGTGTTCCGTCCACTTAGCCTATACAATCTACAAGAATGTGAAGCTAAATTTCAACGTAGCTTGCTTAGCAATCCAAGGCCAGAAGGTTTTCGGGGATTTTGAAGGATGCAGGGGGTTTCCTCATTAGTTACATAGCCATAGAGATAGTACCTCAAAAAACATTATTTAGAAATATTTAGAAATAGTACCTCAAAAATTTAGAAATAGTACCTCAAAAACATTATTTTACCAAATAATTAACCAATTTGGACGTACAAGCCATTGAAAACTCAAATCTAGGCCTCCTAACTCCAAGCCTCTCAGCTCTCCCCAAGACCCTTTATCCCCACAATCTTCATAGAAACCTAGCAGGTCATCTAGCTATATGCTCTTCTCATGCCAAAGTTCCCCAACCATCCACTATCTAGGCATTTAACCTTGCATCAAGGTCCACATGAGCCATGATCCCCTACCATCCATTGTGCATCACAACTTCCTACACCTCCTTCAGTCCAATACATGGGGCAGCACTTTAAACACAAATGCAGAACCTTGGTGATGATCTTATAAAATGCCTGACCAAGCTATGAGGTCAAAATCCCATGTACAAGTACATGTGCAACTTTCAGAATAAGTGAGAAGACTGCCATCTAGAGATATTACAACAGAACGAGAGTGAACAAAGTTGATTAGCAAGCCCTTAAAGGCCAAATAATAAATTACAAAAAAAAAAAAATTAAGAAACAGATGTGCACGAATTGCCAACTTTGAGGCAAGCCTGCAACTCACTAAAACATGAGCAATACAAACAATGCATGCATAGAGCTTCTCACAAATTTGAACTCCAATGAAACAAAAGATTAAATTGCTGAACATAAAAAAAAATCACCAATATTATCTCAAATAAGAGACATGGGAAAGGGAAGATGGAAACCAAGGTCCACAATAAGTTGTCATAGCCATATTTCCATCAGGGCATGTTCTTACATATAAAAGGAAAGATGGATCAAGACTCATGAATAAATCATCCTACGTAGTAAAACTCAAATCAACCCATCTAGCATGACTAGATTCTTCATTGACAATAAGAAAACACAAATCCTAAATCAATGAAAACACATGTCCAATAAGCATGGCCATTATTTCATTCCACTGTTCAACAAATTTGGGAATAGAAAAATCAATGGCTACACATATTTGAAAACAATTTCAACAGTCAAATGGGTGTTTTACCTCTCCTCCTTAAATATATGCCTTCTTGCCCTTGCAAGAGAAGTCTCAGCCAGAGTAGGATGCTCCCCATATAGCTTTATCTGACCAGTTTCCGCCATTGCTTTTGAAAACACCTGTTGATGAGTGTGACAATAACTCAACATTTTTTTTTAATCAGATTTGAATACAGCCCGCACAGAATCAATGTATCAATGATTCTAATGACACCAAAACAGACGAAATTGAACTTCTTATTAACTGGAAAAATACATAATGGCAGTTTCAAATTATTCAAATGATAAGAGTGAACACAATGAAGTTTGTAGATTAAAATGGTTTAGAATGCATCCATGACAAACAAGTGAACATCAAAAATCTAAGAAGTAGATGCAGGAGATAACTGCGCTATATTTTATGCTAGGAAAAGTAATAAATAAATTACTAATAGTCAGAAGTGAGAACACACCGTATCAACATCAGGACGTCTCCTTTGCCACCTAGACCATTGTTCATTTTCCGGTTTCCGCCAATTCCACCAAAGCTCTTCACTTGTGCGAATATCCTCAATCGGCCTCTTCTTTTCTGGATCAATAAAAGAATGAGGACGCCCAATTCTCTTGTCCAATTCATAAGGCGAAATGTTTTCTTTCTCCGGTTCAGTCTGATAGATCACATATTCATCTGATGTATCTTTAGGCTCTTCAGATAAGTTTTCAACAGTTTCAGTAGCCAACATATCTAATTCTACATTTTCCTCCAGAGAATTTGAGGGCCCATTTTCTACTATTGATGAATTGTTTGACGATGCGCTTAGCTCCTTGGTCCTAGACTTCCGTCTCCTACTTCCTGGATTTTTCCCGTACGATGGCTTTCCCTTGGAATTACCTGTTGGTGCAGGAGCCCTGGCAGCTCGAACTCGACTAGCTGTGCCTTCAGGCCAGTATTCAGGCCCAGGAATACTTGCTCGAGCCCCAGAAGCAGGTTCCATCTGTCCTGAAGTAGAATCCATGTAGCTATAGTAAGGTGGGGGCTCCACAAATATGCGCTTGACAGGCTTATCATCCTTCTTCGAACACTTTACACACGGGAGTAACTTAATGTTCCTTTCTGACGACTCATAACTTAACCAAACAGTTGATTGCAGCCTCTTGTTTGTAGGAAATGAACCAAGAAAGATAGTTCTAGTAATTCCCTGCGAAAAAAATGTTCTTCATCTGAGTCTTAATAGGAACGGCATATGAAAATCCATGTTCAGCTCGGCACAACTCCCCAAGGCAACTTGACTCATCCATTTTCCAAGTTATAAGTGTAAAACTCTGATGTACCAAGAGTTTGCCTAAAAATACATTTTTGTCTTGCTTTGATATATGGATTGGATGCTCTGAAGTGGTAAGAAATGGTTTAACATGACGACAAGCAGTGTGGAATCCATTGCCAACACTTTTTTAAGAAAAGGTTTACACAAATTTGAAAATCTCATCTGAGTTTTTCCAAGGTAACTTCTACAATGTAATTCGGTTTTGGCAGTGACAAAGTCGACCACCGAGTTTGTGTTTTCTGACACAGAAATGGACCAGTTATTTTGTGAACTAGTTAGGCTCCTTCTGACTATGCCGAGAACTCTATTGGATAATCCAAAATCTCCTAAAGCTCCCAGATATTTTTTCCGAAATCTTCCACAGATTTGTTTTTTATTATGAGCACAGGTAACAAAGGGGACAAGTGTTGAGAGGCTTAAAACAAGGGAAGAATTGTCACTTCTTCGTAATAACCATTATGGTTGAGTGCCTTTAGTATAATCCTGAGAGAAGTTACACTAAAGTTATGATCTCCCACCTAGAATTGTCAGAACATACTTGTTTTTGGGAGTGCATCAGCAAAACTGGATCTTCTTGCTTTGTTCTTATTTCTTTTTGTCTTTTCTTTTAACAAAACTTGTGGGATAAAGGTTAATCATGCAATAACTGAAACCATTGCCAGTTCAAATGGAGAACTAATATGTAGGTGAAGCAAGTTATGAGCGGCTGATTGTACCCTACCCTCCCCATATCTGGCTTACTCCTCTATGTGGAACTCTCACAGAGACATCTATAGAATCATGTCATGTCATGTGGGTAGAAGGTTGGTGGGCTAGAAAGCCAACATCCTTTCATTTAGTTGCAAAGTGGTTATATCATTCTCACTAAGTTGCTAGCTAATCTCTTAATTTACATTCGTGTATCCACGTATGGTGCCCACACTCATGAATAAATTGATTTGGTAAGCATCGAAGGGATTTTTTTGGAGGAGCTCACTGAAATAGAATCCATTCAGGTGTAGATCAAAGTACATAAGATACCCACATTAAAACAGCACAGGTTCATTGAGCAGGTGTAAAAGATAAAAAATAAATAAGCTTTAATTGATCATGTTAAACAGAGTAAATCAAGTCAAGAAAATATTAAGACTCACATGGTCAAAAAGACCAATATATCCTCTCAATCTACACTAACATGACTTTAGAATCTAAAATAATGCAATTTAAGATAAGATTCCAACTATAATAACAAAGAGCTTCGTAGACAATTTGCCAAGCTAAATCTAATTCTCAAGGGCACATTTTCTAATGGTAATTTCCCAATCCGGGATTGGGAATCCCCGGAACACCATATACTTAAGTTTGTTAACTTGATTTGAAGTAATAAAACAGAGATCTCCCCAACCCCCCCCCAAAAAAAAATAAAAAAACCCAAAAATAAAAAATAAAATATTGGGGATTGTGGAATTCAAAAGGAGAAGGTAGAGTTCCACATTCCCGGATTGCAAACCTCTAATTGGGTTGAAAGAGCCACCCCCATTCCCTCTCATTCGACCTCCTACCAACCCCTAGAAGAGAGGGAAAGGGGGGGGGGCTTCTCTCTTCACCGAGCTTCTCCCTCTCACTCGGTCTACAAGATCCATGCTCATCTCCCCAAGCTTGCAGGAACAAGCCAGCTCATCTCTCCAATCTTAAAGAGTTTGAAAGTTTTGCACAGAGAATCACAGAGTCCATTGCTCTAGGTTATAACCCTCTGTTATCTAAAACCTTAAGAAGCTTTTATTTTCAGAAAATCAGTTGTTGCAGAAGAGGAAAGAAGCCTAAGCAAAAAAGGCTTGAGAGCTGTGTCTTAGCCAATAACTGTTAAGCGATAGGACGATCAAGCACAGCAATATTCCCTTATTCTTTTAATCAATAATGGTGATTTTGGACTTAATAATTTCATTTTCAATGCTTTGATGAAAGCAAAAGAAGCTTGTGAAACCAAGAATACACTACTGTGCAATATGTTAATCAAGGCCTGTTGCTATTTGAAAAAGAATCTATTTGATGAAAGGCCACGAGTTACACATTAAAGTGAAAAAAATCAATTTCCTACAAGCACTCTTTCGAAGCAAAACAAGACAGACATTGCTTGGGTTATCTATGCTGAGATTTTTAGGCTAAAAATCCCTTTGAGTATGGTTACCTGTGATACAAAAAATAAATTTGTTGTGTAAACAAGGAAAATTTAATAAGGCGAAAAGGGTTTCTCAGTTACATGAAACTGTTTGAATTTAAGCCCAATGTAGTAACATAGAACACAATTTTGATGGGAATTGCAACAGAGGCAACGTTTAAATTGCCCAAGAAATCTTTGACAATATGAAGAATAAGGAAGTTATCTCCTAATTCTTTCACATATGCGTCTCTGAGTACAGAAGGAAGACTTGAAGAGTTAGCCCAATTTTTGGCAAAAATAGAGGAGACTGCTCTAGTTCCAGGTGGCCAAAATGTTCTGGCAGATGGGTTTAAGGGGCATTTTGAAATGGCCTTTAAATATAGAGATGAGCTTTTGAGCTTGGAAAAGCCTCCATGAGGGTGCCATGATGTATCTTTGATTTGTTTGTTGATTGAGAATAGTGCTTATAAAATTTGATGGGGAGCTCATTCACTGTATATAAACATGTCACCTTGTATTTTTCTTGACTATATATTTGGTAAAATTTGGACGTGGAACTCGTTCACAGTAATGCTCTAAAGCATTCTTGCAAAACATACAAAGGCAAAGGAAGGTCGAGCAAGCATTTCACACGACGAAGAGACTTTGTTAACCACCTCTCCATGTTTACAAGAGTATGCACTATTACAAATGGACTGTGAAAAACAAAAAAAACCAATACACAAATAGAAAAATGAATAATTGAATGCAATATAATGCAAAAATTCAGCCATTTTTTGGTGATCTCAACCGCTCATCTTGTAGTCCTACAATAGTGCGGTTACAATACAAACTCCCTTATTGGACAAATATCAACCTCTCATAAATGAAATGTGCAATGAACAGTTATAACTGGCTAATTTCCAAATTTTCAGGTTTTTGGAATCCCAAGTTCAATTAAACAAGGAATACTAAAATCCACAGGAATACAGACAGATTATCAGATAAGGGATTTTCCAATTCCAAATCTCCAGAACCCAGGTTTCTAGGATCCAGGATTTCCAGATCCCCATGTATTTTCCAGACCATACTGCCAAACGTTAAGTTACATGACAATAGTTATAGGGAAAAGTTTATATAGAGCCGAGGCTCTAAACAATCAAATTTGAGCCTACCTCAAAAATTTAACTAGAAGAGGTTGTTTTGATGCTCAAATATCTTCAAATTTATCATCTTGGCATCAACATGCATAGACATGAGAAAAAAATGGATTTCAAGGTTTGGAAATAATGTATTTTGTAACGCATTTTTGAACCGTCAATTTTCAAGATTTTTCAAGTTTTCATAGATGTCGATCTACACTATTTTTGAAGCTTTAAACTTTATAAATAAATATGAAATATATTTTAAGGCTATCACAAAGATTTCCAGTATTGAAACCACATTTCTCGATGCTATTGGAAGCTAGGCTCTAATTTGATTGTTTGAGCCTAGGCTCTATACACACCGCACCCATAGTTATTTATTATAAAAACTTGTTGTTCATTGACGTCAATGTATCTACTTAACAAGTGAGACCTATCAAATTATGAGAGAGAAAGAGAGAGAGGTACAAGCCAGTGAACAAGAATGAAAGCAAAAGCACATAAGGTAATAATTTTAGTAAAAAAACATGCTATGAAAAATACTTTATTCAAGTCTGAAAACCTGGAAACACCGAAGACAAGATCCCTTCACATTAGACTTATCAGCATGACAATGAACTGCTGCCCAAAAAAAAACACGAAATGTGCACCATTAAGCAAAGCTTGAGAAGAAAGAAAACTGACTAATTCAGCAGCCAATCAATTACGACACATACTTGAATGAGACCAGGGTCCAAATAGAGAAGCCATTTCAATTAGATTGACCTTCTACAGATTTCCATTCAAGATACTCGAGCAGATATATCTGGCAAAGTTTATAACTCAAATCAGTAGAGCTAGTATCAGAGAGTACAATAATGTACAAAGAACATAACATTCAAAAACAAATATAATTTATTAAGAACATCAAATGTTTTGCTCGCTTGACGTTAATTCATCGCATTTTGGAAAAATCATAGAAATCATTATAAGCATACTACTGACATATTCTGAATAAAAAAGAAAGTCTCAAGATTAAGATAACCAGAACCAAGCTGTGAATGCATCGTTAGATGTAAGTTATTATAAACCAAATAATTTAACATAAATTAGCACTTGCATAAAGCTACTAAATTTGAAAATAAAGCAATAGAAGTAAGAACCTAGACCTTGATAAAACTCCTCAAGGTAATTGAATGGGCAAACAATACTGTATTTCCATTAGCAAAGAAATTCAAGAGTAGATGAGAGAATAATACAAGCAAACCACATATTCTTACTTGACAGAGTCAATATTAGAAGCAATCACACAGGTAGACCTAGAATATCAGTCGTTTGGATAATTTCATGAGCAATCACTAGCATATAGCACAATAATAAATAGAGGAGCACAAAACCTTGTAGAAATTAGAGACAGCAAGAAAATGCTAAAACAAGTTCACGTAAATCATTCATGAACCAGAGACTACAAAAATAAGAAAAAAAATTAAACTAGAATCCAATTTCAAGCATTGAATCGATTCAACACAAAACCCAATATCACAGGTAATTTAATATAATTGAAAAATCAAAGAAAATTACCCAAAGACTTAAAAAAATGAGAATAGGTCGTTGAATACAATAATAATCCATTAATTCAACAGAAAGTTAAAGCTTAGACTTAAGAAAGAGTAATTAAGCACAGTGAAAATCTATAACTGATGCAGCACTGAGAATCAAACAAATTCAACCAAAGCTTACAATAAAAGGGTTGCAGAGACAGCGTAAGAAACGTTTGAAATTCCTCACTGAAAACCAAAGCAACTCAACATACAAGACTTCAAATAAGTAGACAGTGTTTGAATCAATTAAAACAGAGCATGGCGATAAACAATAAAAGCAGAAACAGGAATGAAAAACCCTAAATGAATGCTCAAATAAACCTAGAATATGGAAAATAGAACACAAAAATGAAAAAAAAAAAAACACCCACGATTTCGAATTGGAAAGATAAGTATTCGAGAGCATCTTTCGGTAAAGACTATCGAGTTCTCAAAAAGGAAAGTGTGATTTGAGAGTGAAAAGTGGATGAGGTTCCTCATATATAGTATGGTCATATGACCATGAAAAGTTATGGTCACGAGAGGCTATCACCGTCGCCAGGATAGAAGGTGATGGAGCCCACCACCTAAAACTTAGCTGGAAATCACTCCTAGATATATTATCACAAATACAATAAGACAATTTGGGGTGTGTTACAAAGTTTCAATAAGTATTTTTTTAATTTTAATCAAATTAGTAACATTTGAAATTGAGTTTTTATAAGAACTTTATATTATATAAGTAAGATGTTCACTCAAAAAAATAAGTACGATGTTCACTCAAAAAAATTGGTATAATGTTGAAAAAACACTCCAATTGATCATCCCAACCTCGACATGTATAGATGTGGAAAAAAATATATAAATTTTAAGCCTAGAAAATAGTACATTTTGTGATGTATTATTTGAATCAACAATTTTCAAGATTTTATAGTGTTCATAGATGTACTCGATCTGTATTTTTTAAGCTTTAATCTTTATAAGTAGATATGGGAATACATTTTCAAACTATCATAGGGATTTCTGACACTAAAACATCATATTTTAGGATCATTTGGAGGTGTACTTCATTTGGATTATTTAAGGTGACCTTATACAAACCTTACCCTTGGCACATTGCCAACTACTCGATTTAACATTTAATTGCTAAAAGTAATCATAACACCTTTGAGCTAAGGATAAATAATCTTATTATATATTTTTCTTAATAGAATATGGGTGCAAGGCACTACCTTAAACAATCAAAGTAAGGCACACCTCCAAACACGATTGGAACATGCAGTTCCAATGCTGGAAACACTTACTATTGCTTGAATTTTTATGTTAACTATTAATTATGAGAATTAAGCTAAAAAATTAGTGTTGATCGAGCAAACCTATAAGTACCTTAAATTATGAAAATATACTATATACGTAATACATTGCAAGATGCTACGTTTTTTAATACTCAAATCCATTTATCTCGATGTTAAGATGATTTATTGAAGTGTTATCCAACATCAGAACAACCTTTTCCGATGGGTTTCTAAGACATGCCTCCCATAGTATAAGGTGGACAAGTTATATAATCTCTTTGCTTAGGAAATATCATTAAAAAATAAAATTATCATTTGATAATTGAACCACCTCAAAAAATCATTATTAAATGAACTAGTAAACAATAAAATCGTTTTCTATTTTAACATCATTTCACTCACATACCTAATATAGTTTTTTTTAAAATGCAAGGTTTAAAATTTAAAGGGACAAGTATATTTTGGTATTTTTGGTTTGTAATATTGTGGGGTCAACTTACCTAAACCTTGCCCCTTATTCTAGATTTTATACTTGAAATAAGATATTTTAATGAAAAATGATAGACCATAATTCGTGTAGCCGACTCTAATTAATTGAAAAAAATTATGATTATGATGAATGAAAAACGAGTTTTAAACTAGAACAAACTAGCTGGTTTCATCACAATTCTTGGTTCCATACTCACCGTAAGAGCTTTGAAAAAGCACATTCTATGTTTGAGACTTGGAACAAGCATTCGTGTCATTTTGTTTGAGCCACTTGAGTGAGCAAAAAATACTAAAATACCTCAACTTGTTGAAGCTTCAAAATCTAAAACAAGAGCACTTTGGTTTTTTTTTCACAAAATAGGTTAGCAAATACTTCAGCAAAATAATACTCATCCTGTAGATAAATTCGCTAATTTGACGATGTCATAAATGTTTTGAGGTGGTTTGGTCATTTTAATTATATTTTCTCTCGAAAAACTCTCAAAAAATTAGGAAAGCAAATGGAAAAATCAATCTCACTCTCTCTACTGAGGTTTTTTTATTTATTTTTTCTGCTTTATTATCATTAGAGCCTTATCCTATCTATTTTGAGTCAGCATTTCGTGAAACTTTTTGTAAGTATCTAAACAAAATTTTATTTAAAGGATAATTTAGGGACTATATTGGAGTATTTTGAATTCTTTCACTCATCTCTGGCCTTTGAGGTGGGAGGAGGAGCACGCTTATTTTTAAACATAGTCAATAGGCATAAGATTTTATAAAAGAAGACAGATATTTCAAAGAAAAAATAAAAAAACATTATAAATCAAATACAAAAATCTCTGAATTGTTATTGTTATAGAGTTTATTGTTAATTGTTCAATATATATAGTTCTATAGAATAAGAATCTATAGTTGTTCTAAAAGATAAAGAAGATAAGATTAAGTTAAGGGTTTGTAAGGCTTTCTCGGAATTCAACGTCAATGCCAATTAAATAAGAATCTAGGACAAGTAAAGAGAATCTAATGGGTCAATATATTTTGTATCGAAATCAATAGAAAGAAAGATCTGAATAAAAATAGAAGATCTTAATGAGAAGAATCTGCCAAGCCGGTGACAGGTTTGCTCATTTGCTAGACTATCATTAATCCATTGTTCAGCTCCAAGAAACAAATTTTGGGGAATTTCTCTAATCCAAAAAAAAAAATATATCTTATCACTTTTAGCCACCCCTGAGATCCTCATCATTATGCAAGCTTTATCCACAATACCTGTGATTGGCAGCCACCCCTAAGATAATTCCTATTAAAAATAGAAATAGTTTGTATCTTAATAGAAGTTCTCGCATTAAATTTCCTCTCAAAGCATTAAATTTCCTCTCAAAGCAATAACTAACCTAGTGATCCAATGGTGTACTTTCTTGTAGCCAACCAACACTTGTTACAAAGATGAGGGATTGTGTGTTACAAGATTATTTAGTTTTGGTATAATAAGGCCATAATTACATTCAGTTATCGAATGTGAGAGCGAGCAACTAGAGGTGTGTCATTTCTCCATGTAAAATCTGATAAATATTTTTTCGAACTTGAGCACAATCGGCGTGACAGTATCAACCGTCTAATTTCACATCTAATGGCTAAAGGTGGTCGTCACATTCTTATACTAAAACTAGCCAATCTTCTTTTTTATTTTTCCAAAGGGAAATATCAAATCGAGATAAAAACTTATGGAAAGATTTCTATATTTCCCTTATTGTATAGAAGTTCTATACTCCCCCCAATCCAGTCGTTCAATTAGATCAAATAAGTCATTGACCATTTGATCTAGACCCGACACCTCAAAGTATTTTATTTTAAATTTTTATTCTTCAAATTATATGAATACAAAATTTGGTATATGCTATCATCTCAATAGGACGCACCTAGAAAATATATAAAAATAATATTTTCAGTAACATATAATTACCAATTTACCTCTGAAAATTTCATAGGTATTTTGGTCATTTTATTTATCGAGTATATATGTTTTAATATTTTTAAAAGTGCAAGTTTATGAGAGGAATGGTCACCCAAAATTTGGTTTCACAATATTGTGTAGAAAAAATTAAAAATAAAACATTGTAGAGGCGTGACATTGTAATTAGATATGTCTTAACCATTCATTTAGATCTGACGGCTAGATAAAAAGAAGTATATAAGTACTATACATTAGAAGAAGTATAGAAAACTTGCCCAAACCTTATTGGAGGCACCTTGCCATGTTGATGATGAGCTTATTAAAAATGATATAACAACAAATTATAGGCCTTTATGTGACATGATTGTGGATCCAATGACTCACAGTTCACACCAAGGCATGGTGGTATGGCTATGAAAGTGAGCAACTACGCCTTGCCGATGGTGTGGAGAAAATTCATAGCAAATTTTGAGTTGATAGATTGCATATTTGTTTTTCACATAAAAACAATCTCTCTCTGAGAATATTTTTCATATCAATTAGTTACCAATTGGATTGAAAAGATGTACAGGGATCAATTGATGTAAAAATATTCTTCCACCTGATCACATGAGAAAATTATTTCACGTGAAAATATTTTTTATGTGAAACAATGTGTAATTAAAACGCAATTTGCTTGTTTGCTTTTGAGAGAGAGGGAGAGAGAGAGCATGATATTCCAAATTGGAGAGCGGGAGAGAGAGAGGGAGAGACGATAATATACTAAATTGGAGAGAGAGAGAGAGAGAGAGAGAGAGAGAGTATTATGATAAGCCAAAGTTAGAGAGAGATAGAGACCAT